TATACGAAATACGACGTCACGTTTCGATACATTTGTAGCAAACAGAATATCTACTATATTGAGTTTCTCAGACACATCAGACTGGCAATACGTAAATTCCGAGAGCAACCCGGCGAATATAGCCTCAAGAGGAATAGCCGGCGACAGGGTAAAGGAGAGTGTGTGGCTTACGGGTCCCACCTTTCTTGGCAAGAAGTCGGACGAATGGCCTCGAGAACCCGACCAACGATCCCCTGTAGTTTCAGGAGAACCAAAGGCAGCAGTGAATACGGTCCACATGGAGGACCATTGGCTAACACCCTTTTCGGGCTGTAGTAGTTGGACTAAACTGCTAAGACACGTTGCATGGTTGCGAATATTCAAAGCCTACATAAAGGGTGAAGGCCTTACCACAACCAAGGCCTATTTCTAAAACCCTCACCGTCGAAGGTGCAGAGTACGATATATTGAAGTTGATGCAGAAGCAATGCTTTGGAACTGAAATTAAGTGGGTGCACAATCGTTTGCTAGATACCAATCACAAGCAACTAAAAGTGACCAATAGTCCCCTAAAGAACCTTTTCCCTTTCTTCTCGAACGGCCTGATTAGAGAAGGAGGACAGCTTCAATATTCTCCTCTGCCTTACGAGACGAAGCACCTGTTTGTCCTTCCGCAACATCACTTCGTGAGCCGACTTATCGTGCAAAACGTTCACCAAACGAATGGCCACATCAAAATATCGCGCACGAGTGCTATTTTGCGAGAAAAGTAGTGGATAATCCGCGGTCAGGCCCTAATCAAACGAGTCGTTGGTGCCTGTTTTGTGTATCGGTGCTGGCATGCTCCACCCTGTCGACAGGTTATGGCGCCCTTGCCGGCCGATCGCCTAGAGCCGTATAACCCACCATTTACGTTTACCGAGGTCGATTACCGCGGACCATTTCAAGTAAAGGATGCCCGACGGTCGGAAAAGAGGTTTTGCTGCCTTTTCACATGCCTCAGCATCCGTGCGGTTCACATTGAGGTAGTCTCGAACCTGGGGACAGACTCGTTCCTATGTGCATTCGGCAGGTTCTTCGCTCGAAGAGGGTGCCCACGAAAGCTCTACAGTGATAACGGACTCATCTTTAAAGGAGCTGAGAGAGAACTAACGCTGTTGCTGCAGGAATGGAACCAAGAACGCATAGGTAGCTCCGTTGTAGCGAAGGGGTGCGACTGGATCTTCAATCCACCAACAGCTAGTCACCGGGGCGGAGTATGGGAACGGCTGATACGATCCATTAGGAGAATACTGCGTTCGATTCTTGGTTCACAGGTGGTCACTGAGGAGGTCTTCACAACGACAATAACGGAGACTGAAAAAAATATGAACGACAGGCCTTTGATAAAGAGCAGCGCGGATCCGAACGAGTATGCTGTGCTTACCCCGCAACTCTTTTTGCTGAACACAAGGAACCTTTCATCATCGATTGAAGAAAGTCGTCCTTGTAGACTTAACTTAAGATGGCGCCAGGCTCAACATCTTTCTGATTTGTTCTGGAAAAAATGGTACACCGCTTACCTAACCTCCTTGCAGGTCAAACAAAGGTGGACGAATGAGACTCCGCAACTTGTAATCGGCGATTTAGTCCTAATTGTCGGCAAAGTGGCACCACGCGGACTCTGGAAGAAGGCCGTCGTTGAAGAGATACTC